CACCCACATCCCACAACACCCACAACCACAACACCCACAATTTTTTCTCGTTTTATCTAATTTCATCAGAAAGTCACAACACCACACCTCCATTGTTTTTCTCGTTTAAACCCTTTTAGTTCATTAAAGTTAATACGGGGACACACTACATCAGAAAAAGTCCACATCAACAACCCACTTATAACGGCTTTTCGGTATCTCTATTCGACAACACACCACATCCCACAAACACCCACAATCCCACATCCTACACACACACAGAAACACACACATCACACACCCTAACCTACCTAACCTCTACCTTATCCTAACCTAGCCTAACCTAACCTAACCTAGCCTAACCTAACTTAACCTACCCTAACCTTTACCTAACCTTACCTAACTTAACCAACCTAACCTAACCTTACCTAACCTTTAACCTAACCAAACTAACCTTGCCAAAAATAACCATTCCCTAACCTAACCTAACCTATCTTAACCTAACCCAACCTAACTAGCCGAACCTATCCTAACCTAACCGAAAATATAGTGGAACACTTCCAAAAACTACCGTAGAGGAACTCCAGAATTACGTTGAAACGCACTTCCATTTTTGATATTTTTTCCAAAATTAGTCTTGTGGAAAAACTTTAATCGTAAAATACGAACATTATTTTTCTGTGTTGTAAACACACTCAATGGTAGAAATTATTTTACTCGAGTCCCGAATAGAAACACTTTCCTCGCTCTGAGAGACTCATTGTGGGTCCACCCTCCCCCCCAACACCACTGGGTTAATGCGGTTCACACCCAAGGTAGATTTAGATAAACCATGAACACCTGCGCCAACTCAGGACAACAGACGCCCATGAAATGCGGGTAACATCCAAGTAGAAAAATCATCTCTTTCCCAGACCAACTGCTATCCCAACCTAACCTAACCTAACCTAACCTAATTCCTAACCTAATCTAACCTCCCTAACCGAACCTAACCTAACTCCATCAATCACCTCTATCCTAACCTAACCTATACCTAAACCTAACCCAACCTAACTCCATCAAACACCTCTATCCAAACCTAACCTTTAAAACCTAACCGATCCTAACCTAACCTAACTCCATCAAACACCTCGAATACTACCTAACTTAACCTAAACCTAACCTTACCTAACCTACACGAACCTAACCTAACCTAACCCTAACCTATCCTAACCTGTCCTAACCTAACCTAACCTATCTCACTGAAGACGCTAACCTGACCCTAACATATACCTAACGTATTGCAGCGTGCGAATACCACCACGAACTAACCTAACTTATCTTACCAACCTACTAACCTTATCCTAACCTAACCTAACTAACCTAAAATAACTAACTTACCTAACTTATCCTGAATCTAATGCAACCTAATCCTAAACCTAACCGTAATCCTAACCTAACCTAACTTCCTAACCTAACCTATACCAAACCTAACCTAAAATTACCTAACCTAACTTATCCTAACCTACTCACATTACTTTGAAAACACCTTCAAAACCTCTCCTACATCATTTTCTGAGACCCCCTTTTCTCATATCTCACATTCCACAACCTTTATCATCTCACTACAGAACAACCCCAAGATTACTTCGAACACTCTCATAACAGCATTGAGTACTCACATAAACACTTTTGAACATTTCCCAAACAACACTGAAGCAACTTCCAAAAATATCATTTGGATTACTCCCTAAATAAGATTTGACAGCTCTAATTTATCTACACTTAACACTTTGCATTAAATTACATCTCATCCCCCCAAACTCCTCCCTCAATCTCCAGACATTTACAACATTAGCACAAAAAAAAAACAACTCCTACACTTATGACATGAGACATTACCATATCTAACACACGGACTAACTTTGAACCAACTCCTGAACACCACAGATCTTCTTCAACAAAGCTCTGCACATCATTTGAACACCTTCAAAAAAAAACCATCAACACCTCCGAATAACTCCCAAAAAAAACACTACTGAATACTACGAAATCACCACTTAATACTACCAATCACCGTCAAAAATCACCAGAAACGAAGTTTAACATCACCATCTAACATCCTTTTTATAGAAATACCCCCGCAAATCACTATACCCAAGAACCCCTCCCCATGTGGGGCGCATAAAATAAAAGCATGAACAACAAACCTAATACGCAAACACTTAGTACATGATCATCAGCAACTGAAAACATATCTTATACACGCACATAATATAAGACACTCACCAACTACAATCACACCATGTTCACTTACCTCAAATCACTAATATCACAGAACACAAACATTTTTATTAAACATTCACCACACACACAATACACACACAAGAAAAAAAAATAATTTTTGACAATATCTAAGCGCACTCGACCTCACTAACCACCAACACACGATGTCTCACCTCACAGGACCGACCGAGCTCACACTCCCAGTGACGTCACACATCCCATGTGTTACTTGGTAGGGTTGGTAACATCACACCTAACCCCCCTTGTTTCAACCTGTTTGTAAACCCTACAGTTATCTAAGAGCACTATATCCATGACGATTACCAGATTTATGATCCCACACCAAGATCACAGAAAACACACATTTTTTATAATTATTCCAGCACTAAAATCACGATCACCAATTCCATATCATGTTTACCGTCATCTATCAACACTAATCACCAAGATCCCCCAAAAATCAAGATAAAGCATCACAAACTAACTTATGAACACTGAAAACACTTATTTTTTAAACCATCGCACAAAAAAAAGACATACACAAAATACCACAACACCTTTCCACCAACATCATATCAATAACAATGAGCACTATAACATATCACTATCACAATAAAAAAATAATACACAGACACCCACATATTTAGACATTTTCATTGCAAATCTAAGACATGAACATACACACCAAATCTAAGACATTCACCTCCCAACTAAGACATACACATCACCCCTAAAACTTCCTTCCTATTCATCTCCGTATATCTCCTAAGCTGTTTATTAAACCCCGACGGATCCCCCACGACGTAGGAGCAAAGTGTAGTAGGTGGTGTTGGAGTGGTGATATGGTTTTCCTCTGGCTCCTACGTCGTGATGGATCCGTCGGTTAAAACAGCTCTAGGGAATAAACGGAATGATAAGAAGGAAGTTTAGGTGATGTTTTGTCCTTAGTTGGAGGTGAATGTCTTAGATTTGGTGTGTATGTCTCATGTCTTAAATTTGCAATTTGAAATGTATAATATGTGGTGTCTGTGTATTATATTTCTTTTGTGATAGGTGATATTTTTAGTGCTCATGTTATTATAGATGTTGGTGGAAGTGTAGTGGTATTTTTGTGTATGTCTTTTTTTGTGCGAATGTTTAAAAAATAAGTGTTTTCAGTATCAATAGTAGTTTTTGAGATGCATGATCTTAGATTTTTTGTGACTTGGTGATGAGTGTTGATAGATGACGGTAAACATGATATGGAATTGTGTTCGTGATTTTTGTGTGAATAATTATAAAAATGTGTGTTTTCTGTGATCTTGGTGTTGGGATCATAAATTCTTGGTAATCGTCTTTGGATATAGTGGTCTTAGATAATGAGGGACAACAGGTTTGAAACAAGGGGGGTAGGTGTTGATGTTTACCCCCACCAAGTAACACAAAGGGATGTGACGTCACTGGAGGTGAGCTCGTCGGTCCCTGGAGGATGAGACATCGTGTGTTGTGGTAGTGAGGGTGAGTGCCGCTTAGATATTGTCAAATATTATTTTTTTTCTTGTGTGTTGTGGTGTGTGTGTGTGTGTGTGTGAAAGGTTTATAAAAAATATTGTTTTCGTGATATTAGTGATTTTGAGGTAAGTGAACATGGTGATTGTAGTTGTGATTGTCTTATATTATGTGTGTGTATAAGAATGTTTTTCATTTGATGGTGATCATGTACTAAGTGTTGCGTATTAGGTTAGTGTTCATGCTTTTTTATGCGCCAAATGGGAGGAGTTCTTGTTATAGTGATTTGAGGGATTACATAAAAAGGATGTTAGATGTGATGTTAAACTTAGTTTCTGGTGATTTTGACGTGATTGGTAGTATTCAGTGGTGATTGTAACAATCAGTAGTGTTTTTTTGGGAGTATTCGGAGTGTTTGTTGGTGTATTTTTTTGAAGGTGTTCAAATGATGTGCAGAGCATTTTTTGAAGAAGATCAGTGGTGTTCAGAGTTGGTTCAAAGTTAGTCAGTGTGTTAAATATGGTAATATCTCATGTCATAAGTGTATGAGTTAGTTTTTTTTTTTTTTTTGTGCTAATGTTGTAAAGTCCTGGAAATGAGGGAGGAGTTTGGGGGGATAGATGTAATTCAATGAAAATGTGTAAGTGAAGATAAATTAGAGCTGTCAAATCTTATTTGGGATAATCAAAAGAATTTGGAATGCATCAGTGTGTTTGAAATGTCAAAAGTGTTTATGTGAGTACTCAAATGCTTATGGAGTGTTCGAAGTAATCCTGGGTTGTTCTGTAGTGAGAGGATAAGAGTTGTGGATGATAGATATTGAGAAAAGGGGTCTCAAATGATGTATAAGTGGTTTTGAAGTGTTTTCAAAGTAAAGGAGTATGTAGGAGAAGTTAGGTAGGTTATTTTAGGTTAGTTAGGTTAGGTAGGTTAGATAAGGTAGGTTAGGTTAGGATAAGTTAGGTAGGATAGGTCAGATTAGATTAGGATAATTAGTTAGGTGGGGGGGGGGGGGGGGGGGGGGGGGGGGGGGGGGGGGGGGGGGGGGGGGGGGGGGGGGGGGGGGGGTTTCGCTTATTTAGTTAGGTTAGGTTAGTTAGAATAAGTTAGGTAGTTCGGTTAGATAAGTTAGGTTAGGTTAGCTTAGGATAAGTTAGGTTAGGTTAGGTTAGGTTAGGTTAGGATAGGTTAGGTTAGGTTAGGATAGGTTAGGTTAGGTTAGGTTAGGTGTAAGGGTTTTTAGGTTCGGTAGGTTAGGTAAGGTTAGGTTAGGTTAAGTTAGGTAGTATTCGAGGTGTTTGATGGAGTTAGGTTAGGATAGGTTAGGTTAGGTTAGGATAGAGGTGTTTGATGGAGTTAGGTTGGGTTAGGTTAGGTTAGGTTAGGTTAGGATAGAGGTGATTGATGGAGTTAGGTTAGGTTCGGTTAGGTGAGGTTAGGTTAGGTTAGGAATTAGGTTAGGTTAGGTTAGGTTAGGTTAGGATAGACAGTTGGTCTGGAAAGAGATGATTTTCTACCTTGGATGTTACCCGCATTTCATGGCGTCTGTCTGTCCTGAGTTGGCGCAGGTGTTCATGATTATCTTAAATCTACCTTGGGTGTGAACCGCATTACCCAGTGGTGTTGGGGGGGAAGGGTGACCCACAATGAGTCTCTCAGAGCGAGGAAAGTGTTTCTATTCGGAAATCGAGTAAATATTTCTACCATTGAGTGTGTTTACCAACAAGAAAATAATGTTCGATTTTACGATAAAGTTTTCAAAACTAATTTGGAAATATCCAAAAATGGAGTCGTTCAAAGTAATTCTGGAGTACTCTAATGTATTTTTGGAAGTGTTCCAATATATTTTAGGTTAGGTTAGGATAGGTTCGGCTAGGTTAGGTTGGGTTAGGTTAAGATAGGTTAGGTTAGGTTAGGTAATGGTTAGGCAAGGTTAGATTAGGTTAGGTAAAGGTTAGGTAAAGGTTAGGTTAGGTTAGGTTAAGTTAGGTAAAGGTTAGGTAAAGGTTAGGTTAGGTTAAGTTAGGTTAGGCTAGGTTAGGTTAGGTTAGGCTAGGTTAGGATAAGTTAGGTTAGGCTAGGTTAGGGTGTGTGTGTGTGTGTGTTGTGTGTGTGTGGGATGTGGGATGTGGGTGTTGTGGGATGTGGGTGTTGTTGTCGAACTAGAGATACCGAAAAGACGTTATAAGTGGGTTGTTGATGTGACTTTTTCTGATGTAGTGTGTCCCCTTATTAACTTTAATGAACTAAAAGGGTTAAAACGAGAAAAAAAATGGGAGGTGTGGGTGTTGTGACTTTCTGATGAAATTAGATAAAACGAGAAAAAATTGTGGGTGTTGTGGGTTGTGGGTGTTGTGGGATGTGGGTGTTGATCTTAGTTTATGGTGATTTTGGTGGTGTTTTGAGTGTATTCAGTGGTGTTTTAGTATTCAGTGGTGTATTTGGGAGTACTCAAATGGTGTTTTTGGAAGTGTTTCAGTGTTGTTTGGAAATGTTCAAAGGTGTTCAAAGGTGTTTTGAGTGTGTTCAAATGTTGTTTTTTTGAAGGTGATCAAGGGTGTTCAAGGGTGTTTTGAAGGTGTTCAAAGGTGTTTTGGAAATGTTCAAAGGTGTTTTGAGTGTGTTCAAATGATTATGAGAGTGTTTTGAATGTGTTCAAAGATGTTTTGAAGGTGATCAAAGGTGTTTTGAAGGTGATGAAGGGTGTTTTGAGTGTGTTCAAGGGTGTTTGAAGGTGTTGAAGGGTGTTTTGATTGAATTCAGCGGTGTTTTAGTAGTAATCAGTGGTGTAATTGGGAGTACTCAAATTGTGTTTTTTGGAAGTGTTTCAGTGTTGATTGGAAATGTTCAAAGGTGTTTTTGTGGGATGTGGGTGTTGATCTTAGTTTATGGTGATTTTGGTGGTGTTTTGAGTGTATTCAGTGGTGTTTTAGTATTCAGTGGTGTATTTGGGAGTACTCAAATGGTGTTTTTGGAAGTGTTTCAGTGTTGTTTGGAAATGTTCAAAGGTGTTCAAAGGTGTTTTGAGTGTGTTCAAATGTTGTTTTTTGAAGGTGATCAAGGGTGTTCAAGGGTGTTTTGAAGGTGTTCAAAGGTGTTTTGAGGTTATTCAAAGGTGTTTTGAGTGTGTTCAAATGATTATGAGAGTGTTTTGAATGTATTCAAAGGTGTTTTTGAAGGTGATCAAAGGTGTTTTGAAGGTGTTGAAGGGTGTTTTGAGTGTGTTCAAGGGTGTTTGAAGGTGTTGAAGGGTGTTTTGATTGAATTCAGCGGTGTTTTAGTAGTAATCAGTGGTGTAATTGGGAGTGTTTCAGTGTTGATTGGAAATGTTCAAAGGTGTTTTTGAAAGTGTTCAAGAGTGTTTTGAAGGTGTTCAAGGGTGTTTGAAGGTGTTGAAGGGTGTTTTGATTGAATTCAGCGGTGTTTTAGTAGTAATCAGTGGTGTAATTGGGAGTACTCAAATAGTGTTTTGGAAATGTTCATGGGTGTTGTGGGATGTGGGTGTTGTGGGTGTTGTTGACGAACTAGAGATACCGAAAAAAATGTTATAAGTGGGTTGTTGTTGGGACTTTTTCTGATGTAGTGTGTCCCCTTATTAACTTTAATGAACTAAAAGGGTTAAAACGAGAAAAAAAATTATGGGTTGTGGATGTTGTTGTTGTGACTTTCTGATGTACTGTGTCCCCTTATTAACTTTAATGAACTAAAAGGGTTAAAACGAGAAAAATTGTGGGTGTTGTGGGGTGTGTGTGCGTGTGTGTTAGGTGTCATAGAGATTTTTTTTTGTGAAAATCTTGGTTACAGTGATGACATTAGTTAAAACGAGTAAAATTTGTTGGTAATTGATGAGGGTAGTGTAGTCGAATTAGAGTTACCGAAAAAAGATGATATAAGTGGGTTGTGATGAAATTAGTTTAAAAACGATATTCAAAGGTGTTTTGAAGGTGTTGAAGGGTGTTTTGATTGAATTCAGCGGTGTTTTAGTAGTAATCAGTGGTGTAATTGGGAGTACTCAAATAGTGTTTTTGGAAATGTTCAAAGGTGTTCAAAGGTGTTTTGAAGGTGTTGAAGGGTGTTTTGATTGAATTCAGCGGTGTTTTAGTAGTATTCAGTGGTGTAATTGGGAGTACTCAAATTGTGTTTTTTTGGAAGTGTTTCATGGTGATTTTGGTGGTGTTTTGAGTGTATTCAGTGGTGTTTTAGTATTCAGTGGTGTATTTGGGAGTACTCAAATGGTGTTTTTGGAAGTGTTTCAGTGTTGTTTGGAAATGTTCAAAGGTGTTCAAAGGTGTTTTGAGTGTGTTCAAATGTTGTTTTTTTGAAGGTGATCAAGGGTGTTCAAGGGTGTTTTGAAGGTGTTCAAAAGGTGTTTTGAGGTTATTCAAAGGTGTTTTGAAGGTGTTCAAGGGTGTTTATGTGAGTATTCAAAGGTGTTTTTTGAAGGTGTACAAATGATTATGAGAGTGTTTTTGGGGGTGTTCAAAGTAAAGTGTTTGAGTTAGTTTTTGTGATAATGTTGTGGAGTCTGGAGACTGAGGGATGAGTTGTAATTTAATGAAATGTGTAAGTGCAGATAAATTAGAGATGTCAAATCTTATTTGGGAGTACTCAAATAGTGTTTTGGAAATGTTCAAAGGTGTTCAAAGGTGTTTTGAGTGTGTTCAAATGTTGTTTTGAAGGTGTTCAAGGGTGTTTTGAAGGTGTTCAAGGGTGTTTTGAAGGTGTTCAAAGGTGTTTTGAGGTTATTCAAAGGTGTTTTGAGTGTGTTCAAATGATTATGAGAGTGCTTTGAAGGTGTTTTGAAGGTGTTCAAGGGTGTTTATGTGAGTATTCAAAGGTGTTTTTTGAAGGTGTACAAATGATTATGAGAGTACTTATGAAGGTGTTCAAATGATGTGCAAGAGTACTTATAAAGGTGTTCTGGGAGTATTCAGAGGTGATTTGGGGGTGTTCGAATGATGTTTTTGGAGTATTTCAGTGTTGTTTGGAAATGTATAAAGGTATTTTTTGTGAGTATTCAAATGATTTATGAGAGTGTTTTGAAGATGTTCAAAGTAAAAGTGCGTATTTAACTTCGTAATATGTAAAATTGTGAGTAGTGAATTTAACGAAAGTGGATGTAAGCGATGTGGTGACTTTCTGATGCATGTGTCCCCTTATTAACTTTAATGAACTAAAAGGGTTAAAACGAGAAAAATTGGGGGTTATGAGTGAAAATTGTGAGGTGTTGGTTGGAGTGTGGGTAAAAGGGTAGACAAGATTCAACCTGTGTGCGCGTGGTCCTTTTTAGTTCATTTAACTTAATGAGAGGAATACTGACGTCACTGACCGCCGAGTAAACACCCTTCATTAGACCTGTAGTAAGCATGCCCCATAGGAGGAGTTCATTTGAATGCTTACCCCCAGAGGGGGGAATCCAAAAACCTTGATCCAAGGAGATGGAGTCTTGGTATTATCGAGAAATTTTGGGGTGGGAGTGAAAGTGAGAGGGGTAATCCAAAAATTTGATCCAAGGAGAATTTCGAAAACCCCATAGGGGGGAATCCAAAAAACTTGATCCGAGGAGATGGAGTCATGGTATTGTCGAGAAAATTTGATCCGAGGAGATGGAGAATTTCGAAAACCCCATAGGGGGGATCCAAAAAACTCGATCCGAGGAGATGGAGTCATGGTATTGTCGAGAAAATTTGGGGTGAAAGGAGGGGTACCCAAAAAACCTTGATCCAAGGAGATGGAGAATTTCGAAAACCCCATAGGGGGGAATCCAAAAAATTTGATCCGAGGAGATGGAGACTTTCGAAACCCCCATAGGGGGGAATCCAAAAAACTTGATCCAAGGAGATCATAAGAATTTCGAAAACCCCCATAGGGGGGAATCCAAAAACTTGTATTATCGAGAAATTTTTTGGGGTTGGGGGGTGAAAGTGGGAGGGGGATCCGAGGAGATGGAGACTTTCGAAACCCCCATAGGGGGGAATCCAAAAACTTGGTAATATCGAGAAATTTTGGGATGGGGGTGAAAGTGAGAGGGGGAACTTCAAAAATTTGATCCGAGGAGATGGAGAGCACAAGAAAATGAAATTCAAAAAAAATTCGAAAAAAATCGGAAAAAAAATTTGAGGCGCGGGGGGGGATCCGGATGACGCTGCAGAAGGCGCAGCAGAAGGCGGGCGGGGCGCGCGGGGGTCGCGAAGGGCGGGCGCGCGGGGGGGCGCGCGGGCGGGCGGCGGGCGGGGCGCGCGGGCGCGGCCGACGGCGGGTCGCGAAGGGGGGGGGTCGTGGCGGGGGTATTGGTTGGGGGGGTCAAGGGTGAGGTAGTCTCGAGGGCGAGGTCCCTGGTCAAAACCGGAAGTAACACCTAGGTGTGAAAAGGTGACCCTCCAGCCGCTGGTCCTAGACCGGAAGGGACCTCCCTGGAAGGCCTAAAACCGGAAGTTCCTCGCCCAGTGGAAAAGGGCCCCCAAACCCGGGAAGGACCCCCCTGTAGAAAACTATACTACTCTTATTACATGGTAAAAATTTGGGGTATGATGGGGTGATACTGCAGGCTTGACACTCTGTAACTGCACATGGGTAATTAAGTCCCTAGTTTTGATGACATGGGTAATTATGGTAATTACATACAGATGAGGTTTATCTAGTTTTGACTAACATGAAAGAAAACGAAGTAGTTACATGGATATTATTTTTACACTTTTTTGTCCTAAAGGGGTTCTGGTGGCCTGGTGGCTAGTGCTCTCGCTTCACACGCCGAGGGCCTGGGTTAGATTCCCAGCCAGAGTACAAACATTGGGCGCGTTTCTTTCCACATCAGTAAAATAGGTACCTGGTGTCAGTCGACTGGTGTGGGTCGCATTCTTGGACACTGACCTAATTTGCCCGACATCCGGAGCATAACAAGGGGCTTTCTATATAGTAGTATGTCATTGTTGTCAGCTAGGACTGTATACCATGTACATGTAGTAAATAAAGATATTATTATTATTATTATTAATTCTCTATGCAAATGAAGACGGGGCAAACATTGCTACATTTCCTCCTTTTATGCATATCTTAAACAAATACACCAACAACTCCAAAACTGTCCACACCTGCCTTCACTATCTATGGGAGCTCGAGAAGGTGTCCCCCTAGCGCACTCAGCTCACACTGAGGTCCGGAGTTCGAATCCCGATACGGCTGCCCTGTTCACCCAACAGTGTAAAATGGGTACCTGGGTGTTAGCCGACTGGTGTGGGTCGCATCCTGGGACAAAATTGACCTAATTTGCCCGAAAAAGTTCTGCATAACAAATGGCTTTCTATACAGTAGTATGTCATTGATGTCAGCTAGGCCTGTATACCTTGTACATGTACTTGTAGAAATAAAGATATTGACAAGCAAGAGAGTCCCATCAGCCATGGCTGGATGATAACTGGTTACCGCAACACTACGATACCTGGCATCCTGGCTACGTCATCTGACATAGAATAACATCCTTCCAACTTCCTCCCCTCCCTGTCTTATCTGACGACTTGCCACACTAATGAAGTGACTTGCCCCGATTCCTGACAAGCCTTACCCAACCTAACCTAACTACTGAAATAGTCATGTCATTTACTCGGACCGCGTAGGTCACTTAGCGTTCACCTTCACCTTTGATGAGTTACCTTCGATATACCTTTGATGAGTTTGGAGAGTTTTTCTACTCCAGAAACCCGGCCTTGGGCCGGCTCGTCTGGTACTTGCCTGATCAACCAGGCTGTTGCTGCTGGCAGCCCACCGCCCCACAAATCCATCAAAAAAATATATACAACAATGAAAATAAAGATAACATTAACACAAAAACAACGAGCAAATAACACATACATTATAAGTACTTATTACAGCAAGTTTAAGTAAGATGACACTGAAGGAAGAGTATGCATTAGCAGACATTGTTCTGTTAAGTATACCAACAAGTTTATACAATCATTTATATTATTTAGTGTGGGTGGGGAGGCTGCTCTTCAGCGGCTCATCTGAACTGTAAGCCTGCACACTCCACCAAGATATCTGTTGGCTGAGCAATGGTGAATGTGTCTCCTTTAGATCACACTATGGTTGAAGAGCGGGGAGGAGGATGGGAGGGGGTACAGCGCAAGAGGTGGTTGAAACCCGATCCTTCCTCGTGTGACCACGACACACACACACACACACATACACACACACACACGTCTGTGGTCTTCTTTGCCCTTCCCCAATCTGCATGACTCTACATTTGGCGGGTTAAATTCAAGGAGCCAGTTGCTGGACAGGTGTCCAGGTCTCTCTGAAGTCCTGCCAAATCAAATGAAAATTAGGCAGGCTTCATAAACACCTGGACAGGCTGGACACCTGGTCCAGCAACTTGTTTCTCAAATTTAATCCTGCCAAATGCAAAGTCATGAAGATCGGGAAGGGCAAAGAAGACCGCAGACAGAGTATAGGCTAAGTGGCCAAAGACTGCAAACCTCGCTCAGGAGAAAGATCTTGGGGTGATTATAACACCGAGCACGTCTCCGGAAGCACACATCAACCAGATAACTGCTGCAGCATATGTGCACCTGGCAAGCCTGATAATAGCGTTCTGATACCTTAGTAAAGAATCGTTCAAGACACTGTATATCATGTACGGCAGGCCCATACTGGAGTATGCAGCACCAGTTTGGAACCCACACCTGTCAAGCAAGTCAAGAAATTAGAGAAGGTGCAAAGGTTTGGAACAAGGCTAGTTCCACAGCTAAGAGAATGTCCTACGAAGAAAGGTTAAGGGAAATCGCCTGACGACATTGGAAGACAGGAAGGTTAGAGGAGACATGATAACGACATACAAAACACTGTGTGGAATAGACAATGTGGACAGAGACAGGATGTTCCAGAGAGGGACACAGAAACAATGGTCACACTGGAAGTTGAAGACTCAGATGATCAAAGGGATGTTAGGAAGTATTTCTTCAGTCACAGAGTAGTCAGGAAGTGGAATAGTCTATCAAGTGATGTAGTGGAGGCAGGAACCATACATAGCTTTAAAAGGAGGTATGATAAACCTCATGGAGCTGGGAGAGAGAGGACCCAGTAGCGTTCAGTGAAGAGACGGGGCCAGGAGCTGAGTCTGGGACCCCTGCAACTATAATTAGGTGAGTGTACACATACACACACACACACACTGTCCTCGTGTAATCACGACACACACACATGTCCTCGTGTAATCACGACACACACACACTGTCCTCGGTAATCACGACACACACACACACACTGTCCTCGTGTAATCACGACAACACACACACACACACACACACCACACACACCACACAACACACACACACTGTCCTCGTGAAATCACGACACACACACACTGTCCTCGTGTAATCACGACACACACTGTCCTCGTGTAATCACGACACACACACACTGTCCTCGTGTAATCACGAGACACACACACACACACTGTCCTCGTGTAATCACGACACACAACACACACTGTCCTCGTGTAATCACGACACACACACACTGTCCTCGTGTAATCACACACACACACACTGTCCTCGTGTAATCACGACACACACACACTGTCCTCGTGTAATCACGACACACACACACACTGTCCTCGTGTAATCACGACACACACACACTGTCCTCGTGTAATCACGACACACACACTGTCCTCGTGTAATCACGACACACACACACACACACACACTCACACACACACACACACACACTGTCCTCGTGTAACCACGACACACACACACTGTCCTCGTGTAACCACGACACACACACCGTCCTCGCGTAACCACGACACACACACACGTCCTCGTGTAATCACAGACACACACTGTCCTCGTGTAACCACGACACACACACTGTCCTCGTGTAACCACGACACACACACTGTCCTCGTGTAACCACGACACACACACTGTCCCTCGTGTAACCACGACACACACACTGTCCTCGTGAAACACGAGAACACACACTGTCCTCGTGTAACTCTTGCAGAGCAGTTTGGATATTCAAGTGATGAATAAAAATTCATCAGACATTCCCAGCACCTCGGTCCTGTACTCTTCAATTTCCATTTTGAAAATATTACAGCTGTTTGTATTGAAAGTTTTCCTCGTATGTTATTTAAATTTTTCATGTTTGATGTTGCCCTTGATTATAATGTTTCCTGGGAACGTGTCTACTAATGTTTACAAACTCCACCACCAGATGAACTGGAACAACTCTCTTTACGCTTTTATGCTTCCATTTTTTTCTTTATTTCTACGCCAGATTCGGTTTATGCATCTCATAATTGTTCAGATGTTCAAGTTAGCGCTATGGAATTTTTGTTTGAAAAAATATAATAGAAAAAAACAATGGATTTCTATTCCAAGTCCCTCATTCGCTTCCTTCTGTTCCTGGTCTCCAGGTCAAATGTTTCATTCCTGACATTCCAAGATTCAGAATTTCCATGCGGACAATGTCGATATTCCGCCCCAGTTCAAGCGAAGATGACATACCTGAATACCCGCTCTGATTTGTCAGACTTCCAGTGATATGGAAGAAACTAACTTTGTGCAGCCTTAACTTGGTGACAGCAGCACCATCAGCCTCACTTCCCGCTGATGTGACATCAAAGCCCTGACCTGATTAGGTTGGGGCATTGGCTTAAGCTGGTAGGAGACTTGGACCTGCCTCGCATGGGCCAGTAGGCCTTTTTGCAGTGTTCCGTCTTTCTTATATTCTTATGTTCCTATATGCCAATCACTACTGAGGAAACGTATCGCCAGCTTGGCGAAACGCTTC